TCTCTCTCTCTCTATATATATATATATATATATATATATATATATATATATATATATATATCCATACCCTCATTCCTGACTTTGGACGAGTTCGAGAGCGAGGCCCTGAAGTGAGGTGTGGATTCTGGTGTGCATTAAATTCCTTCGTCAGGCATTAACGGCTTTACGACCACGCTGTGACCAATCAACCATTAAAAGATTCGTGATTTAAAAATGAATTAGACGGGGCTCCAGGTCAGCTTTCTCTTATTAGGCGAATGAGTTAAAGAAGAAGATTTTTTGGTAAATTTTTGAAGAAGATAAGAATTGGGGAAAATACTAACACGAGGAGCTATAGTGTTAGTAAACTTGGTCCTGCTAGTAATAGTGCTATAGACGTGTTTTTTTTTCTATTAATGCTACTGCTTTTGTGCCAGAACTAGAATAATGATGGAGTTTTTTTTTGGTGTTTTTATCAAGAAAATCTTCTAATTTTTGGTGTTTTTATCAAGAAAATCTTCAAATTTTTGGTGTTTTTATCAAGAAAATCCTCTAATTTTTGGTGTTTTTATCAAGAAAATCTTCTAATTTTACTCACACTAATAATACCACTATTAATCCTACTCTGGTTAAAATATACTGCTGCTTTGACCTCAAATGCCTTGCTGTGCCAAATAATTTTTTTTTATTCGTCTTGGCTCACAACCGGCATATTTTGCAGTAATTACAAAGGTTAATAAACTCGAAACAGCCGCTACCTTGTGTTCATACTACTTTGTTGGTCTTCTAATTGTTACTACTGATTATTACTACTATTTGCACTTCCTCATTGATATTATGATAACTACTATTCTTAGTGCAATTAACTTTACTAAAGTCACTTTTCCTATTGCAAGTATTCTAATACTATCACCTCAATTACTCCCACCCCTTCTTCTTCTTCTTCTCCTCCTTTTTCTCCTTCCTTTTTCTCCTTCTTCTTCTTCTTCTTCTTCTTCTTCTCCTCCTCCTCCTCCTCCTCCTCCTCTCCTCCTCCTCCTTCTCCTCCTCCTCCTCCTCCTCCTCCTATTCCTCCTCCTCCTCCTACTACTACTACTGCTACTACTTTTACAACAGCACTCACGTAAAACAATAAAAAAGAAACTGTAAAACGTGGGAAAACACTTTTAGAATGACGTAATGTAAGAATCAGGTGATATTTCTAACATAATTCATTTGAACTTTAGCCGATTCGACGGAGTCACGATGTCTCGAAGAAGAAGAAAGAGAAGAAGAAATAAAAAAAGACAAGGTCACGATAATTTTCCTATGAGCACGACACTGACCTAAGATTTAACGAATGACCGGGTTAGATGCGAGAGAGAGAGAAGGGGAGGAGGGGAGGGAAGGAGAGGAGAGGGAGAGGGAGAGGGAGAGAGAGAGAGGGAGAGAGAGAGAGAGAGAGAGAGAGAGAGAGAGAGAGAGAGAGAGAGAGAGAGAGAGAGAGAGAGAGAGAGAGAGAGAGAGAGAGAGAGAGAGAGAGAGAAGAGAGAGAGAGAGAGAGAGAGAGAGAGAGAGAGAGAGAAAGAGAGAGTAGAGGATAGGAAGGAGAGGGAGAGAGAGAGAGAGAGAGAAGAAAAAGAAGGGAGGAAGACACACAAAAGTATGTATTTATGTTTATAAATAGAGACATAGATACATGATCATAAAGAGACAGTAAATGAGAAGAAAAAAACAGAGAAATGAATTCGAGGGTTAAGAGAGAGAAAATAAATAAAGGAGGAAGGATAGTGAAAATTAAGAACAGAAAGAATGAGAATGAGTAAAAAAATAAAAAAAAAACAGAAACTAGAAAAAAAGAAAGGAAAGGAGAAAGACACACACACAATGAGAACAAGAACACCGAATTCAGGAACTGGAAGAAAGAAAGAAAAAAAAAGTGAATAAAGCTAACAAATGAAAGGCGGAAGAAGAAAAGTCGAGGAAGGGAATGTAAAGAGCGAAGAGGAAAGGAAATGACACATAAATAAGGAGGAGGAGGAGGAGAAGGAGGAGGAGGAAGGAAGGAAGCAGAGATGGCGGAGAAACCGATGAATAAAAAAAAAATAAAAATAATAAATAAAAAAAAAAAAAAAAATAAATAAAAATAAAATGAAAATAAAAACCTACAATATACAGGTGACAGACAGACACCAACAGACATACAGACAAATGCGTTGGTTGTGACAAATGCAGGAAATGTAAGAATTGAAATGACTATCGGATTGTTCAATCACTCATTCTCATTCCGATAAATGTGAATAGGCAGAGATAAAGATGGGAATTGCGCGAAAAGGAGAGAGAAACAGAGGAAGACATAGATAAAAACAGGGAAAAGGAGATAGCTAGGTAGAAGGATAGAGATGGATAGATAAAAATAGAATCGTAGTAATGGAAAGGTAGAGATACAGAGATAGAAATAGAAATATACAAAGACAGAAATAGAGAGATGTAGATAAACATAAATGTAGAGATATAGATAGATAGAAAGAGAGATGAAGAAAATGAAGAGGTAGAGATACAGAGATAGAAATAGAGATATAGGGATACAAATACAGAAATATAGAGATATAGATAGATAAACATAGATGTAGAATATAGATAGATAGAAAGAAAGAGAGATAGATAGAGAAATGAAGAGGTAGAGATACAGATATAGAAATAG